AAAAAAAAAAAAAAAAAAAAAAAAAAAAAAAAAAAAAAAACGAAAAGAAAAAGAAAAAAAGATGTCAGAAGAAAAAGTATTCGAAGACGAGACGAATTAATAAGAAAAAAGCGAGCGTCTTCCTTGATCATTGAAAAGATTTCATTTACGTGCTTACGGTCAGCGTAAACCTGATTGCGAGATTAAGAGATAAATCATATATCAAGAAACGTTATCAGCGATTAGATAATCGTGGAAACACAATTGAAAAGATATTTGAAATTGTTATTGTTTATATTACGTCGGGTAAAAAACAATTATCATTGTTGAAATCGCATCTGGTTCTACGTTTTGCCTCGTATCTCACTCCGTTTTTTGTCGTGCAAATAAAAAATTACGCTTCTTCCATTCTTCTTTCCATTTTCGTATGTAAAAAAAAAGCAAGAGGAAAATATGTAATCATATACAAATCATTAGATATAACACATTAGTTCGATTGCGAATATTTGTGCAAATTCATATCTTTATGAATATGATTAAAAAATATATACTATATATTCTAGTATATCTATACTAGGTACTCTAACATCTATATTAGATAATAGTACAATCTATTTAATACTGGGTAAAATACTGTAATCAATAAACATTACATTTTCATGAATTAAAAATGCAGAAATCTACAGAATAATATGTATACAAAAGTGCATAAAATATCCAAAATAATTATTAATATTAACAAAGCTATAAATGGTATAAGTACTTTATAGTAAAGTTTTTAACAGAACTCTTCTTTTCCACTTAAGTTCTTGGAATATGAAATTATTAGAATATTTCTATTTAACTTCTATTATCATAATGGAACTTCTATTCAAGTTCTATTTGCACAAAACTTCGCAGTCCAATAATTTTACTTTGGATGGATTGTACTTTCAAATTTCTTTATAAATAGATGAAACTCTACGATCTACTATTCATTAGATACACACAGCAAAAAGCTACCCTTGGAACTGGGCTAAAAACGATATCGGATTAACATGGTTGAAGGGCAGTTTCCCCAATAAAAACTGTTAACATGTTTGCGGTACATGTTGCACTTTCATCACGACTGACATTCTCTCCGTTGGTTCACCGTCTCGTATCTCTGTTACTCCTCGTATTCGTGGTGTGTTCGCGCTTCCTTCGTTTCGTATAAACCAAGTTACTCGTTACGAAACGCAAGTACGGCGTCGTTCACAAATATTAGCATCATTCAGAGCGTTCGTAGCCGTCAAATGTTTTTTACCTAGATAAGCTGTTATCAAGGCGCTATCCGTTATCAGCGTTCTCAGCCCTTGATCGAGAAAGATTTATATGCTTGTCCAAAGCGGTCGGAAATGCTGCCGCTTATCGTGATTATCTTACGCGTCTTCGTCGTGGGTACACGTTAAATAGTAGAGCAAAAAATAAAAAAAAAGAACAGGAAAAACGTCTGAAATTAGAACGACCGAAATTTCGTAGGAATCAGAGATCGCGATGTGTCGCCGCGGATCTACATACAGTTGTGATTATGCGTGGATACGCTTACGCGAGCAACGTCAATCGCTGACATGTCTTACACATACATACATACATACATACATTAAATATATACGGAAATATATAGAGGATAGAAGGTACGTAAGCAATTCTGCGAGCTTCATTATTCTTCGCCTCTGGTGAATTTTTTACAGCGTTAAGCTACGATGGTCTTTTGTTTGAAACGATAAAGAACACGATAAGCGTCGATTAAACTGGCTTAAATTGATATCGATCCCTCGGTTGATTAATTTGCAAATGCGGATCGATCGAGCTCGGGCGTGGTAAGCTGCTCTCTTCGCATTCATCCTGCTTCGTCTTTGTATTTTTCGTCTCGATCAATTCTAGGTCTCGCGTCTGTCTGCGCATTCGTCCTCATTACGAAATGCAGCGTTGATAGATAATGCAGCAACGCGATAACGTGATAAAACGACAACGCGATAACGAGGCAACTCGATACAATTAACGGGGACGAACGTGGTGCTGAGATGCGGGCGAAATGTGAGAGAAAAAAAAAAAAAAAGAAAAAAAAAAGTTAGTGAATTGACGCATGTTGAATGCGTAAGTTGTAACGTTTGAACAAGTCGAATTAAACTCACCTTACACCTTCGGGTTATTATATTGAACACTGGCATGTTGTCGTTGCTTGAATGGGATCCGACGATGGAAATGAAAACCGTGTGTTCGTGCGGTCAAGCAGAGACATGTGCGCACGTGGAGACGTACGCGTTCACGCACGTGGACGAGGAGAGTGCGATCGCGGTGTCGGTTTTAAACGCAAAGAAGATCGGTAATCGGTAAAATTCACTTTTTCACTGGCTCTAGCGTACGTACGATGTGACGATCATTCATTGGATTTATCCTTAAGTGAGGCCGATAATGAGGAAGTTGTGCTATCCCGATTTCAGATAAATTTCAACGTTACTGCCGTCGTTATCATTGCCATCATTAGCATCGTCATCGTCAACGTCATCATCACCACTTTCGACGTCATTGTTCTTGGCAGAGAGTCGCTTTATTCTGTTTCTCTCCGGTGCTTTACGTTCAGTCGTTTTCTTCGAACAAGAAGGATCCTTGACGTCGATCGTAACTCCCGATTAACAGTACGAGCTTCGCTAACTATCCTCCGCTTCGTCGATTCATTTCCCGGAAATTTCGACGTAAATCACGGACAGTCGTTTTTTCTCGTTCGGAATGGCTGGCATTCGGGACGTATCGTGCGCGGTGATCGAAACTCCGAGGCGAACAATAATTCGAACGAGATACAAACGCAAAGACAGAAGAAAGACAAAGGACGAAAGAACGAAGAGAAAGAACGGAAAAAGGAAACAAGGAGAAAGTGAGCGTCGATTAATCGATCACCGGTGGCAAAGGATAACAACGCTGAAAAGAACGCCGAAGGAGGACGGCGAAGGTTGCGATCGATTACAAGCGAATTGCTGTAGCCTTGATAACAGGGTGGATTTCGCATTCGACGAGGCAGAGGCAAATATAATTCTTTTCCCGTGCGAAGGATACGTGTCAAAGTAACGGTGCTGATGAAACGAGGGCGAAAGCGAACGCGGCCGTATACATGAATACGAATGCGGACAGTTGATCGAGGAACGAGTGCATTTTTCGGACTCGGGTCTTGGACTCGATGGTTTTACCGATGCGACGACGTCCGCTCGGAGCAACCTTGCGTTTTCTCCTCGTACCGCCGTTCCGTCGCGCACTCGGCTACCTACGATTAAGCGCACCTCAAGGTTGCGGTTACCCAATAACGTATCTCACGATCTCGACGAGGCGAAGTGGTATACCGAGTTGAACGGGATCGCAGGGAGAACTGGGAACACAGGGAGCGAGTGATAGATGACGGTGGACAAACAGGTGGAGTGTGCGAAGATAATCAAGTATTAATTGGAGGTATGTTAAGTTGGAAGATTATATATATATATATATATATATATATGTACGTTGGGAACAATCGGTCGCTTTATCCAGAAGAATCTTTATCGGCTTGAATTAACAGCGATAAGCTTAAAAATACTACTACTCATCGCTGGAACTTTGTCCTTCTTCCTCGGTTCTAAATCGAAGTCGTTCGGATTCAAAAAGTCGCCTTTACCGTATCGATCGCGTAACAAGTTGCGCACTTGTGTCATCGGTCATTCGAAGCGGATGTGAAAAGGACGATCGTGCCGGATGTCGTTTTTTAATCAGAGCGAGATCAATCGTGATTTTCACCCTCGTTGTTAAATCGGTCGTGTTACCGGCTGTTGCCATTCGACGAACACGTTGATCGCATGGAAAGTTTCCGCATCAGATAATCTCTTCTGTTGCGGGTAGATCTTTTCGCTTCCTTCTTTTCTCTCCCACCCCTTTTTGGCTGGCTGATCGTGAAAGCGAGACGTCGATCGTTTCGGGCGAAAATCGAAGGTGCAGAAGACCGACACGGAAAAATCGGGTCGCGAAACGAACATCAAATCACCGACGATGTAAAAACGACGCTCAAACGAAGGTTTGCTCTCCGCGCGAGACACAAACTTCCACCGCTGATCGGCTCGTTTCGGTACTGCTCGCTACCGCTCGCTACTACTCGCTACTGCTCGAATGCCCGCCACGCGCCACGCGCTACAAGCTTCGGGCATGCCCCACGCCCGCTGCGCTATCGGCTATCGTTAACTTACCGCTTCTACCCGTTCTATCCCCTACTATTCGACCACATGGCAGCCGCGTATTTTCATTTCTATCACTCGTCACTTAAGCCTCGTTCAGATTAGTCGAATTAACTTGAATTTAAACGGCTTGAATTCAAGTAATTTGAAGCAGCTTGACATAGCGCGAACATGGTATAATAGAGCCTGCCAAATACTCTAACCAGATGTACAGTATCCGAATTTTCTGTTACTCCAAGTGTTCTCGATCAAGGGGAGAATTTCACTAGCATTATTTTATACTATATTTATTACTTAGTCGATCGAAGATGTAGAAGAAGAGAAAAATAATCATCAGGTTGATGAATTTCATGAATTGTAACTTTCATTAGAATTGAATGCATTTAAATGAATCAATCAAAACATGAAAATTTATACGAAGTATTTAATCAAACAGGAATTTTGTCTCCACACTTGCTGAAATTTCAGCAATTCGATTAATCTGAATGAGGCTTTAGAGTACATTATTAGCTTCCGTTCTTTCGTTCCTTTTTCTTTCGTTCTTTCAGTCCTCTCTTTCAACTTTAAATATTTTCCTGGCAATAAATTACTTGTGACAGTAAA